CCGCGGCCCCGCGGCGGGCAGCGCGCCTGCTCCTGCCCGCGGCACCTGCTCGGGAGGGAGACGTCGCAGCGCGTGTGGCACCTTCGCGGGCTGCCGGCTCGAACCCCGCCGTTTCGGAGGCGATGGCAGGTTAGTTCCAGCGCGCCCCCACCCGCCCCCGGCTTCGGATCGTTTGGTGTGTGTCTTCGCCTGAATTTTGTATGAGTGTGTTGTTTCCTTGGAGCCTTAGGGTGGAGAAACAGTGGAGCGGCTTGTTCCATCTTTTCTTTTCTCCTTCACCTCCTCCTTCATCATCATCATCTTCTTCTTTTTTTAATTCTGAGCCTGTGCGCAGAAGGTATTGCAGACACACAAGTAATGTTACTACCGTTCTATTTTAAATGCAAACACAGCAAGAAGTCTGCTTGGCACGATACCAGAGGCGCCTGTACTCACTGTTATATAAGTGCTTTAAAAAATATTTGCCCATTTGGTGAAGTTAGGAGTGAACACCAAAGCAGCTAAGAAGAGCACAAGAAGTCAGAACCATCATTTCTGCTTTAAGCCAAAACTTTCCTTGGAGATAAGCATGGTCTTAGCTGGAGATTTCCTTCCAAGATAGAAATAGGGCCCTTTAAAACTCGCTAGTTAGGACTGTAAAGCATTACAACACAAAACCAGGTTTTGAAGCCTGTTATGAAAATTGGTGGGAATTGGTGGACAGTGATTTAAAAACAGATCGCATAAATATCCTTTGCGGCTTTCCAGCAGTTGAATGATTTCATTTTGCTGTGGGATAGAAATAGTAATTGTGAGTTGCCAGTTGTTAAAGCTCTGTCTTTCCTTCCCTCTCCGCCCTCCACCTTCCAGCTTTGCTCACATTTATAGTTTTTCTTTCAGGTAAGAAGAAGACTAAAGTGAAAGCATCAGACATACTAATGTCCAGGCACCCCCTTTTAGCACTGCCCCCCATTCTGTTCTAATTGGTCTGGAGTGGTATCTTATTATCTCTTATATATTAATAGTTTTCCTGGTGATTTTAAGGTGTATAATGGTGAGACCCATTGGAAAATACTGTTTCTTTTACTTTGTCACTTTGTAGCCTAAGGTGTGGCTTCAGTGATTTAAAGTAAGGCGAAAATACGTAGCTAGAAACATCGGGGAGAAAAGCAGTATTGGAAAGGAGATGTGCTGGCGGATTTCAGCATGTACGTGCTCGTGTTTTGTCTAAATAATTCCCCTTGAGTTTTCTTAGAAAGAGCAGCTGATGTTATCCAGGACCCGGAATTGTGTGTGGAATACTCACAGAAGTCCTAAGTGGTGTCCTGCGTTGTGCAGAGGGGAGCTGGAAGGGTTGAGTACTGTGTCAGGACATTTCTTCATGTTTATATTCTAAAATAACCCAGTCTCATTGAAGACGATTTTCCCTATTTCATTAAAAACTTACTATATTAATACAACAGAAACTAGTCAGTTAAGTGCAAAAGGCTTTTTATTGCTTTTAAGGTCAGAAGGAACTGTGGCTGCTGAATCACGGGGTTTGGTCTATTTTATGTAATTCCAAGTATCCAACCAAGCCTGGGATCAGATCTTATGGATGGTTTATGAGGGCTTATGTAAGAACGACAACTGTGCTTTTGCTATTCTGTAGCTCCCTGTTTTGGGTATTACATAATTGACAGGAACTAGGCTGTTGAAGCCAAAGTAGGAGGGGATGCCCAGCCCAGCCCCCACCCCTATTTTATAATGAATTGCTGCCGCCAAATTAGAGGGAACCGCGGGGATGGTGGTTTGTGGAAGAGAGATAAGAATAGCGTGTGGAGGATTGATGCAATATTATGCTTAGTGATTTTCTAGAGATCGGAATGAAGCCTCTTTAGTCTGTAATATCTCCCAGCAGAGGCACTTGATGGAAGCTAATGAATCTAAAGCTTCAGATCTCTCATTGAGGCTTTTTCTTTGGGGAGGAGGGGTGTACTAACAGCTTGTTCTTGTGGTCATACTTAAGTTTGTGTTTGTAGTTTTGAATTGTTTTTAAGTGGGGAGGGTGATCTTTCCACCTTCCCACCCCTCTCCCTAATTATGTAAACCTAAGGCACCACAAACCCCGAATTGGCTTATGTTCAAATGTTAACTTAGAAAAATTGCCTTTTCTGTCTTAGTTTTTGTCATCTTAGGAAGAATGAAAAAGAGAAGAAATCTGGCAAGTGCTGCAACTGACCTGCTGAGAAAATGCAGAGCTCTAAGCTAGGGCTGTGTGGAGCTCCAGAAATAGGTGGTTACTTGGAGAACTGGAACCCGCGCCTGTGAGCTCACATGGAGGGGACCTTTTTGGATCTGAGTGTGAGCTGGAGGTGGAGAAAAGCAAAGATGGGGGCGAGAATGTGAGCAAAGTGGGTGAAAACGCTTCCACACCTCGGAGGCAGGCTGCCAAGGGGGAGGGTGAGAAAACCCAGCTGCTGAATGTTTCATTAATAAAAAGCTAGTTAATAGGAACAGATAGCATAGCTCCAGAGGAGACCTTTTTGCAAGCTCTTTAGGATGTATATCTAGTAGGAACTTCAAAATAGTAAGCAAACGTATACTTGGAAAATATTCTGCAGAAAACAAAGCAGGTGGCCAAGGACTAGATAAATTATCAGTGTGTTCTGATTAGCAGATTTTATGCGCAAGTGAGAGCCTTATATGCATCAAGCCATGTTTGAGAGGGTGTTGTTGAGAAGAGTCAAGTTTGTTTTTTCTCTGAAATGATTGTCACTTGATATGTGGGTTTAAATGATCTTATCACCCTAACTCCACCTACCAACACATACCTGTCATCCTTAGATCCATCCATCCATCCGTTACCCATTCATCCACAAAGACTCCTGGGCTAGATGTTCATCACACTCCTCCCATCAACCCGTTTCTCAAACGGATTTTGACTGTGGTTTGTAAAAACTGCAACTTTTAGCATAAATACTCCCCACCCCAGAGACTTGAAAACATTCTAACAGGGCTTTTGACAGCTGACGGCCATGTTCCTGGACGATCCAACCCTCCTTAAATTCTTGCCTGGAGAAACTCAAAGCTGTCTTGAAGGAATTCAGCTAGACAGTAGCTCTTGACTTTTTTTTTCTGAGAGCATTTATTTAAAACAAAAACAAAACAAAACAAAACAAGAAAAACTTGCAAGTGTAAATCCCTTCTCTGTCCCTTTGTGATGTACGTGTATGTCCTACTATCCAGGAGTATCTTTCTCCCAAGACCTGAAGCCCTTCCTTTGGAATGTGGCCTCCAGTCTCTGAGGGAGGATAGCTCTAACTTTTGACAAGTACCACTCTGCAGAGACGCAGATGACCTAATGGCATTGACACTGTATAACTCTTTTCTTGCTTTTTGTAATTTCTGCTTCCTTGACTTTACTGGAGCCTGAGCTCATTGCCCGCTGCTGCTTTCTCCTTTTAAAATGCCTCGTCACTTCAGTGCCCTCAGAGCTGAGGTTGGTTCTGTATGGAAGTTTCTACCCTCTACTACTGGATAAGATCTGTCCTGCTGCCTTTAGCCAGTGTCCAGTTTTTAAAAAACAATTTTAAAAACAAGGTCCAAGAAATAATTGGGAGTGTCCATGTGCCAGGCACTGTTCTAGGACCTGGGTAAACGGTGAACAAAGCAGACAAAAACTGTGCCCCTGGGGAACTTGCAGTGTAAGTAGCAGGAATCAGACAAACTTAAAATATTTGTCAGGCAGAGATGGTTCTATAGAGAAAAAATAAATCAGAGATGGGAGAAAAGGACTGTGCAGTAGAGAACTGCTGATTCAAGCAGGGTGGTCAGGTACGTCTCACTTAGAGACTTACCTGGAAGGCAAGGACGAGTGAGCCATAGGGATGAAGCCCCTTGGAGAGCAGCGATCGCAGGCTTTGAGCAGGAGCGCAGCTGCCGGGTGTGAGGAGCACAGGAAGCCAGTGCTGTGGGCACCCGTGGAGGGTTCTTATGCTCTTGTCTCATCAACTGTCAGTTTGTTTCCTCGCAGTGTCCCCCCTCCCCCACTACTTGCAGCGGTGTCAGTGAATGCTGGTGTTGCTTTGGGCTTCTCAGGGCATCTGGAGCCCAGTCTGAAGCAGCACCTCCAACGGAGTATGGAGGGAGGCTCTGTGTCTTCACTGATGACTCGCACTGGCCTCTTATAAGAAAAGAGACCAACTGGCAGGTTCCATGCCACCTGGAATCCCTGCTGTCACCTGGCTGTGATAGAAAAAGGGTGTTCCTTAAGGAACATGGAAATGTCTAAGCCAGTGAACAGCAGGTCTTCAGAAGCCAGAGTGAGGGCTGGTTCCCAGCCAGTCTCCGGTGAAGGCCGTGACACTGGCAGACGGCAGGGACTCACACTGCTATCTGAGCTGGCACGATTCTCCCAAATCCCAGGCCAACCCTGGGATCCCCTGGGCCTCCATCCTACCTTTAAGGACTCTGAGCGTGGGGAGTTTGCTCGCCAAACGGTATGAGACCGAGATGCAGTGTCCGGATCTGAGAGCAACTCTGAGTGAAATTGAGGCAGAGAGAACCCCTGGCCTAAAGGCAACTTGGGTTAACTAGGGTTTAAAGGAAGAGAAATTGCTCAGTGTCCAACTGAGGCTCCTGGTACCTAGTTACCCTGTATCGGATATTTAGAAATTTAGAAAACACACGCACACAGACACATGCACACACACGTGCATACATATACACAGACCTGGCCCCAGGCTGTAATAGATTCTTCAGTGCAAAAGGTGAACCAGCCACTGTGAGCAATAGCCACAGATCGTCTGCTGATTTTTGGTCATAGCCTTGCTAGGCATGTGATGTGTGGTGGGACAGGAGTGCGGGACCAGGACGGCATAGCTGTTTACTTTTCAAGCCATAGCTTTTAACTATTTTAAACTCTCAATGACCAAAGAAGAAATCTTTCCTGCAGGAATTCTCTGGATTGTTCACTGTTAGGTAGGGGCTATTATAACAGCTTGAGTGAACCCATGTGCCGGTGGCATTAGGAAGGTGGGGTTGATAGGAGTTGTAGTAGGTTGACTGGCATTAGCGGTCTACACATACTCTAGTGAAAAATATATATGGTAAAACCTTGGTTTATGAGAATAATTTGTTTTGCTCATAATCCAAAGCATTTATATATC